ACAAATAAAGTTATAAATTTTTTTAAAGTGCACACGAACTTTATGGACACCTTGTATTTTCCACTTTATTGTAAAGATTATGACCTTTCGTTTGGAAAAAGAAAAGTTTTAATTCCCAAATTAATCTTCACTTTCATCAGGTGATGAGATATCATCAGGACGTAGATCACTATCATCAATCTTTTCTCGACTTTTTTTACCATAAAAATGTTTAGAATTACAGGGGTTCTTTTATTTGTTTATTTAATTCTGAAATATTGAGTTGTATTAAAAATTAAATTATCGTATTTTCAGGCTTACAAGCTGCGGCTTGTAAGACGCACCCTAATATTGGAAAGAAATTTCTAAGAAAAATTTTCCATTCAGCGTTCTAATCTTTTTCTTTTTTAAGATATTAAATCTCTCTACAGGTCTGATTTTTCTTACTAGAAATTGAGCAGTTTTTAACGCATATAATCTTAAAACCTCTATTTTAGACTTTGTTTATTTTGATATATATATATATATATATATATATATATATATATATATATGCTGGACTCTCCCGTCGTATTCGACGTATTAGGATCAAGCAACTCAGTTTCGAGGAAACGACAGCCAGACACCTGCACAGCTGATTTGATTATAATGGTGAAGGCTTTGTGCAGAACCAACCACACTTTTTGAAGGGCCGATTACAGAGACCAGGTGCATTGCGTACCACAAGGTCCCCAAACGACATCCAAGGGCGGAGAAGAAGAGAATTTATACCATTCGCAATGGTATTAGCACGTAAGTGAATGTAATGGATTCGACTCCGATTCCTCAGTCCGAGCCGCTATCCATTACTCCTACTCATCCTTCTCATATATATATATATATATATATATATATATATATATATATACTAATAATAATACTCGTTTGGTAAAAAACCTCAGATAGCTCAACTTGTAGATATGCCAAAACAAATCGGTACCTGAGGAAAAATTAGAAAAAAAAAAGGAAGAATTAAAAACGTCTGAACAGGGCGAAATTAATCGACCAGTGTCTTAAGTCTTTAGTTCAAAAAAAAAACAAGCAAAGTAGTAAGACTAACACGTAGAGTGCTCAATACGCTAAGTAGAACAGGAATAACTAAAATAAATCCTAAAGAGCCAGGAAATCCTACCTACGTTTCACCTAAACGGATCTTCAAGGCAAGCTGGTGCCTTGAAGATCCGTTTATATATATATATATATATATATATATATATATATATATATATATATATATATATAAATTAATTTTTATTGCCCAAAGAAGACATGCAGTGCATTCACTGCATATATAGACATTGAAACTCATCTCTCTCTCTATCATCTATCTATCTATCTATCTATCTATATATATATATATATATATATATATATATATATATATATATATATATATATATATATATATATTTATTTAAAAAAATATATATGCAGTGAATGTATTGCATGTCTGTATGTCTGCTTTGGGGAAAAAAAAATAATTATTTTTACTATCCTCTTTAGACTTATGATCATTTTCAAAATATCCCTTTCTTTCATTTCTTAGGATAGATTGAGAACAAGATATCATCATCATCATCATCATCATCATCATCCTTCGACATCTCTATGGTTGGTAAGAACTCCCTTGACAAGTCCTTCCCACACTGTTCGGTCCTGCATTGCTGTCCTCAGATCCCCAATGTCCAATCCTGAGGCCAGAGCTATGGTGTCTGAGAAAGTCAATTTTCGAGAGAAGACACTTCCAGAAGGAGGTCATAGGAGTAAGGATGAGACGATTTCCCTGTCCGCTCGGTGGTAGTGGCCGGCAAACCGTAATCGTTTTTGTTTGAGCTTAAGAGAGATTTCTCTCAATTCTCCGTAAATTGCATAAATGGCAGTGTTTCTAAAGATGGTGTGTCGACGAAAACGCCCAGATGTAGGGTTGGCGTCCCACGTTTTATATCAGCTGCCGGACGAAAGAAGAAGATATATAAGCAGAGTAGTGTAGGCAGAGAAGACCTATACTTTCATATACCAATCTCGCACCACTTGTCTTCATAAGCACAGAGAACGTGGAAGGTGCTTGAAGAATTAAAGCTGAGTGAGCAAGAAGATTAAAAATAGTAAAAAAAAAGAAAAGAAGAAGCAATGCTTCTGCTTATTCTCAACATGGACATGGTTTTGTGTATTTTGGTTTTCATTTCCAGGAACAAAGACATTTTGAAGATAAAGGTAGAAGATGTTACTAATACTTTCTCGAAGGAAGCGATCGATGAATTTGTCCAAAACGAAACGAAGAATTGAATTAATTTATAACTAAATAAGTTTTTTTTTTTTTTTTTTTTTTTTAAGCATTTCACCCCAAGCAAGGCGGGAAGCCACTAGGACGCAAGGGGTTACAGAAAATAGGAAGATCAGATAGGAGTGATAGAAGATAGGATGAGGGTAGTAGATAGATTAGGGCAACTGGAGATGTCGATTGACATTACACTTGAATAGCTGGAGATTATAACTCACAGGGAAACAGGAGAAGGGAAGAGAGTTCCTCAGGCGAGAGGTGCGAGACATGAAGCGATTTAGGAGTTTCGACAGTGAAGGGTTGAGAGCGGGATGCCAGCCTCGTAGGGCGCTTGAACTCATGAAGTCTGGGAACCAGCGAATGCAGCTCCTCGGAACAATTTCCATGAAAGTATTTGTAGAACAGACAGAGGGAGGCGACGGTGCGTCTGTGAGAAAGTGACTGTAGACGAGACGCCAGGGCAGGGCCAACCATATTGCATATCCGCTTATTAAATACATCGTTATTTGTTGATTTTAGAATTTTCTCATAGATCTAAAAACGAATCTTTGGATCTGATTAAGGCTTTAAAAGCGAAACACATAATCAAATCTAGTTTCAATGAAACTATTTCCGTTTGTCAAATTTCTTCTGTACCGTATTTTAAAAAACATATTGTCGACGTGGAAAACACATGGATTGACCTAAAAACATATAAATCTTTTACTTTCAACCTATTCTGAAAGACAGAATCAGGATTTTCCTTGGATTAATTTCTTGCTTTCGAGCCATTCTGGAAATGAGATGAGGTTTTGCCTTTAATTTGATACAAAAGAAAGGCCCGGAAAAATATATTAAAAACTTTCGACATGAATTAAGAATTATAGAGAAATATACAGAATAAATATTAACAGCTTTTTTTTTTAAAGTCACTTAATTTCTTTCTTCATTAATCACGAGAATCGACAGATCAGGGGGGTGGGGAAGAACTATGATTCATTATTTAAGCGTACACACAAATACATGCACACATATTTCTTTATTTCATTTTTGATCTGATGAAGCCTAGAAAGGCGTAATCAAATCTAGTTTCAATGAAAAGTTTTCCATTTGTCAAAATTCTTCCAAACTTTGTAGGGATTCTGTATCCTATCTTTGTTTCTTTCTTTCTTTGTTTCTTTCTTTGTTCTTTGTTACTTTGTTTCATTTTTATTTTCTTCATTTTAGTTTTTTTTTCTTTCCTTTTTTCTTTCTTTCATTCTTTCTTTATTTTTTCCGCGATATCAAGTATAACAGCATAAAAATTAAAGGCTTTTATAAAAAAGCCACACAACTTTGTTCTTTCATTGATCCCGAGAAACGCCAGCTTAACGGAAAAAGTATTAACGATTTATTGTTTAAGCACGCACTCACGCACACGCACACACACACACACACACATATATATATATATATATTTCCTTCTTTCGTTTGGATCTGATGAAGTCTAACAAGGGCGGGTAATCTAGTTTTAATGAAACACTTTTCCCTTTGTCATATCATATATATATATATATATATATATATATATATATATATATATATATATACATGTGCGCAGGTATGCTTAAAATAGAAAAGAACACGTTGGATGCATAATCCGGAGTTCCTTAGTATTTTTTGTTTTTATTTTTAAGAAGACGGTGCTCCATACAGAAATAGAGCTTTATTATAATATTTTTTTGTTTAAAAATATGATTCCTTCGCTACATAAGAGTTCTCATGTTTCAAAAACGAGAGCCGAAACCATCCAAATAATTATTAAAATTAAGTTGAATTGAGGTGTTTAGGGTGGTAGCACCTGTTAGGGTCCCAGCTTTGGGCAAATAGTGAACCCACAAACAAAAATCAATACTATATTTTTATAATGAAATGACCATCAATGCATTTTTATAGCAAAATGTCAATGTAACACAAAATAATATAAAAATATATTTTTATATTAAAACTGCTTACAATATATTATAAATTCTACAAACTATATATGTAAAAAAACATACCTCTGCCCTGAAAATATAAAATCATGTTCTAAATATCTGTAGTTAAAAGCATGAAATTACGTAAAAAATATTTAAATTTCGGCATTAAATAACCCATAGATGTGTTAATATACCGCTAAACAAAATTAACTAACCAACCAATCTAAACTGTATGAATTTAAGCGTATTACTATATTGGTGGGGGGGATCTCAACATTTTACAGTTGAAATAGCTAGAAGCTACCGTAAGTTCTATGCTAGCAGTTTCTTCTAACGCATTTCCGGCTTATGGAACTCTTACTTCCTTGTCAACTTTGATCTTCAAAAATTTAAATATAATGTCAACCGTTATTTTCTGTCTTCTTAATTCCTATTTTTTTTATTGTTCGCTATACTTAATAATATTTTCTTTTTCTCATATTCTTTCACCCTCAATAACTCCTTGCGTCTTAGTGGCTTTATTGCCTTGCTTGGTGTACAATGATAAAAAATGTTAATTTTATTTCATATATGGTTCTCACTGAGCTGGTGTGCGTTAAGTGTTGTGACTTTACTCGAACTGGTTTTTGTGACTAAGTGTCTCTACCATACTCAAAACTATCATCGTGGGAACAGTCAAATTATCAACAAGAGCTGTTATATTACTCGTCATTGTAGTATTACTAATCATTGAAATATTACTAATTGTTATAATTTTGTTGTAGTAACGAAATTATTGATTAATGCACGCTACTTCTTTGTGGACAAGGATGATGACATCAGGTCAAAGAAGGATTGGCATTTTCTTTTGATAGAGTCGACCATCATATTCGTAGAAATGCATCTCTCTCTTTCTTTCTTTCGCACTTTTTTCTTTCTTTCTTTCTTTCTTTCTGTTTCTCTTTTTTCTTTGTCTTTCTTTCTTTCTTTCTTTCTTTGTGTTCTTTCTTTCTTTCTTTCTTTCTTTCTTTCTTTGTCTTTCTTTCTGTCTTTCTTCCTTTCTGTTCTTTATTTCTTTATTTGTTCCCTTCTTTCTTTCTTTCTGTTTTTCTTTCTTTCTTTCTTTTCTTTCTTTCATTGTTTCTTTCTTTCTTTCTTTCTTTCTTTGTCTTTCTTTCTGTCTTTCTTCCTTTCTGTTCTTTATTTCTTTATTTGTTCCCTTCTTTCTTTCTTTCTGTTTTTCTTTCTTTCTTTCTTTCTTTTCTTTCTTTCATTGTTTCTTTCTTTCTTTCTTTCTCTCTTTCTTTGTCTTTCTTTCTGTCTTTCTTTCTTTCTTTCTGTTCTTTCTTTCTGTTCTTTCTTTCTTTCTGTTTCTCTTTCTTTCTTTCTGTTCTTTCTTTCTGTTTCTCTTTCTTTCTTTCTTTCTTTCTTTCTTTCTTTCTTTCTGTTCTTTCTTTCTTTATTTGTTCCCTTCTTTCTTTCTTTCTTTATTTGTTTCTTTCTTTCTGGTTTACTTTCTTTCTTTCTTTCTGTCTGTTTCTTTTTTCTTTGTTACTTTTCTTTCTTTTCGTCTTTTTCTTTCTTTCTTTCTTTCTTTCTTTCTTTCTTTCTTTCTTTTCTTTTCTTTTCTTACGCAGGCTTCTGTATCTATGTGTGTGTAAAGTGGCACTCGTGAGTAAGCGTGCCCGAAACGCAATCAGTAGGCGAATCGCCGACGCGATACCACCACCCTCACTCTTTTAAAACAGCCCGCTCGTTTTACTTATCAAGTGAGAAAAGATACCAACAACCACACAGTTTATAACCCCTCCCCGCTGGCGTTTTACTCTGATTACGTGTACGTTAAAAATTCCATCGAGTTCTGTCTTTGCTTTAAATTGTTAGAGGTCGTGTCAGCCAGGAATGTTGAATATACGACGTGATTCTGTGTGCCCCCCCTCCCTGAGTAAGAGAGAGAGAGAGAGAGAAAGAAAAAAATGAGTGGGAGGATGGATTATCATTTAAATCGTTTAAAACATTTAGCTTTTCAAATGTCCATGTATGTATGTGTGTGTGTGAGAGAGAGAGGGAGAGAGAGAGAGATAGGGAGAGAGATAGGGAGAGAGGGATAGAGATAGAGAGAGAGGGATAAAGGAAACATATAAGAGAAGAGAGAGAGAAATAAAGGAAAAAGAGCTGTCGAATTCTTCTTTTATGCGCCGTGTCCCTTCAGGACGTAGGCGATCATGGCTCTGCACTTCTCCCTATCCCTTGTAGTCCTCAATATGTTTTGTCCTTTTGCTACTTCTCCCAAACCCTGTTCCGTCGTCCATTTGCTTAAGCCTGCTAGGTATGTCACGCATTACTTTCATTTATCTCTCTTTCCCTCTATCCGTCCTGTGAGTGTCAGATTCTCTAAGCCCTCCTTTTTCATTACGTTTCCCAGAATTTTCAGCTATCTCTTCCTGGTGTTAAGTATAAGTTTCCTCTTTGTTTGCACTCTCTCCAAAACTTCATGGTTGCTTACATGTTCGGTCCATGGTATCCTTAGCATCCTTCTGTAGAACCATATCTCCGTCGCCTCGTGTCTCTTCTTCATCTTTGAGGAAATCGTCCAACATTCGCTTGCCGTAAAGGAGGACAGATGTCACGTAGCAGTTTAGTACTCCTTTCTTTGTTACCAACGAAATCCTCCTGTCTCTTAATACTCTGTCTAGATTTTGGAATGCGTCTTTGGCCATCTCTTTACGTCTTCAGATCTCAGCGTCGCACTTAGCGTCGTCTGTCAGAGCACATTCCAGATCGTTCCCTCATCCCTCATCGTTGCTCACACACTCGGTCCATGATATCCAAATCATCCTTCTGTAAAATCATACCTCCGTTGCCTCGAGTCTCGTCTTCATTTTTTAGGAGACCGTCCAACATTCGCTGGCGTAAAGAAGGACAGATGTCATATAACAGCTCAGTATTCTTTTCTTTGTTATTTTTATTATTATTATTATTATTATTATTATATCCTTAGCATCCTTCTGTAGAACCATATCTCCGTCGCCTCGAGTCTCTTCTTCATCTTTGAGGAAATCGTCCAACATTCGCTTGCCGTAAAGGAGGACAGATGTCATATAGCAGCTCTGTACTCTTTCCTTTGCTAGCAAAGTAATCCTGCTGTCTCGTAATACTCCGCCTAGGTTCTGGAATGTGTCTGTGACCATCCCAATACGTCTTCGGATCTCAGAGTCGCACTGACGGTCCTCTCATCCCTCATCGTTGCTTACACACTCGGTCCATGATATCCTTAGCATCCTTCTGTAGATCCATATCTCCGTTGCCTCGAGTCTCTTCTTCATCTTTGAGGAGAACGTCCGACATTCGATGCCGTAATGGAGAACAGATGTAACGTAGCAGCGAAGTACTCTTTTCTTTTTTACCAAAGAAATCCTCATATCTCGTAATATTCTCCCTAGCTTTTGGAATGCGACTTTGGCCATCCCAATACGTCTTCGGATCTCAGTGTCGCACTTACCGTACTCTGTCAGAACACTTCCCAGATATTTAAACTTTCACACCTACTTGATTTTAGTGTCCTCGACCTGTAAATCGCATTTGGGGCTCATCTTTTTACTGATGAACCTGCATTATGTCTTGTAGTTTAGGCTTAGTCCTTTCTTCTCGCTCTCCTTCACTGACTCCTGTAGGAGGTTTTGTAATTACCTTTCCGTGTCTACTATCAGTACTGTGTCATCTATGTATCTTATGTTTTGTGGCCGCCAATCCTGCTAGGATTTTCAATTCTCTCAGAATAGCCTCGCTGTTATAGGTTGAATAAGTCCGGTGAGAAGACACACTCTTGCCTCACGCCCCTTTCTATTTTTGTATATCCGCTGGCCTCATTCTCTATCCGCACGCTGCCAGTATAGGTTCTTGATTATTCTAATATCTTTCCCAAATATATCAAGGTATCCGAGCAGTTCCAACAAATATCTGTAGTGTTCCCAAGTGTTTCAAGAAATAGGACTCACGATAAACATTTCCAAGACTGAATCTCTGATCTGGAATTGGAATGTATCCTGGTTGAAGAGCAATGTAAAATGGTAGTACCTATAATCATAGGCACACGAGGAACAGTCCCCAAAACATTTGAAATGTGGTTGTAAATCCGAAAGAAGATGTGAACCATAGAAAATCCATAGTTATTAAAATCTGAAAAAATACTAAACAGAGATCTGGAGATCTGGCAATCTAGAGATCTGGAGATTTGGGAATACTTACTGTCACTTGATCCCCAATAACAATCACTAGATATCTCCGTTTGAAGAAGCAAATATTAATAATGACTCCCCGCCCAACACACAGACACATACGCATATATCGGAACATTTATCATGAAAATATTTATAGAAGAAGTCACAAAGAAGCTATGTTACAGCGGTGAGAAAGTGAATATATATATATATATATATATATATATATATATATATATATATATATATATATATATATATATATATCCTAAAGAGCCAAACAAACCTACCTAGGTTTCACATAAATAGATCTTCAGGTTTTTTTTTTGTTTGTTTTTTTGGAACTAAAGACTTAAGGTACTGGACGATATGTTTCGTCCAGTTCTGCTGTTTTTAGTTCTTTCTTTCTTTTTCTTTTTTTCTAATTTTTTCTCGAGTACCGATTTGTTTTCACATATCTACAAGTTGTGCTATCCGAGCTTTTTTTTTCCAACCGACTATTCCTATATATATATATATATATATATATATATATATATATATATATGTGTGTGTGTGTGTATATATATATATATATATATATATTTATATCATCATTCAATTTTCGGATATGGTGTTGTGTATTGCGTTTGAAGTTTTGGATATAATATCCAAAGTTCATATTTTCTTATTTTTTTTATCAAATACTTTCGATTTTGCCAGTCATTATCGAGAACCACTGTGGTGCTTTGGTAGTGGTTAGAATTCTTTTGTCTTCATCTTGATATTTTTGGAAAGCCATAATTTTGAAATGATCTAGCGTGACGTCATGTGTAACTGTGATTGGGAACGAGGCCGCATAAAAAAGAATGCGATTTATTTATTTTTATTTGTTTATTTTATTATAATCCTGATAAAATAGATGCTCACATTAATTATATCATAGACACTTTAAGATACATTCTCCTGTGTGGAATGTGGGCTGTTTATATAATTGCCTACTTGGTGAGCAATACCTCTTTTATAAAAGTTTCCTTCAATTCGACAAACAAGATCCGGCGATTAAGATTCCTATTCAGTTTTACTTGTGTTCGTAAGTGTTTGAATATTGCGTCTATTTTAATACTGATCCTTTCCAGGTTTTTTTCCTTCCCGAATTTCATGTTAACACCAAAAAACTGATTAGACAACTGGAAAGGGCCAGTATAAGATTAAGTAGACTCAATATGCCTATATTATTCAATGACACGTGTTTGAATTAAGATTTGACATATATATATATATATATATATATATATATATATATATATATATATATATACCCAAAATATAGGATTGGTGTAGATATATAATCAGTACAAAAACATTTATTAAATGTTAATTTTTAAGCATATGACAGAAATGAATCATGAAAAAAAGGTTTTAAGTTCGGAATTTTCGGACACGCCTGTGTCCTTCATCAACGGAGCGAGAAATAAACAGAAATGGGAATTACTCACTGACAGATGTTTTTTGACGCTGTATTTTCTGTGGACACACACACACACATATATATATATACATACATATATATATATATATATATATATATATATATATATATATATATATATATATATATATATATATAATTACCATCACAACGAAATGCAGATTTTATTACAGTGACAATGAGTTTGAATTTAAGGTTTGCCCCCGAGTAGTATCTTGGAGGATATCGAAAGTACTTGGGTAGGAAAAACTACGGCGCCTTCCTTGATGAATTTCATGTTAACATCAAGAAACCTATTAGATAACAGGAAAAGATCAGTATAAAATTAAGTAGACTCAAATATGTCTATATTATTCAATGAAACGTGTTTGAATGAAGATATTCTGCTATATATATATATATATATATATATATATATATATATATATATATATATGGCAACAGTATTCAGTGCAAGGACGAATGGTAGATTTCTTATTATAATAATGTGTTGAGTATTTTATTTAATGTTGTTTATGTTCTATAATAATAAAACGAAATTTGTAAAATTCGGATTCCCGTTTTGCATCGATCTTTTCAAGAACTAAAAGAAATTAATGCCTTTTCATTAATTTTGAAGAAAAGTTCGCTGATTTAGGCAACAGGGACGCAGAATTGTAAAAAAAAAAAGTTAAAAGTCTAACATATATATATATATATATATATATATATATATATATATATATATATAAGTGCGTAGGTATGCAGAAAATAGAAAAGAACACGTTGGGTGCATAATCCGGAGTTCCTTAGTATTTTTGTTTTTATTTTTAAGAAGACAGTGCTCCATACAGAAGTAGAGCTTATATTATAATATTTTTTTGTTTAAAAATATGATTCCTTCGTTACATAAGAGTTCTTCTGTTTCAAAAACGAGAGCCGAAACCATCCAAATAATTATTAAAATTAAGTT